ATGGGGGCTATGTGTGTGTGTATGTTAAGGGTAGGGGGGGCTTTATTTTATAATATATATCTTTATTTATTTAATTAAAAAAAACAAATATCCTATGTCCCCCCTCCCTTCTTACCTTTATTGAGGAGGAGGGGGGACATATTTCGTTCCCTGGTGGTCCCAGTGGTGATTCCCTGGTGGTCCCAGTGGTTACAGTGAACTCTAGCCCGCAGCTCCCGCTCTAGAGTTCACTCTCGGGAGATTTGGAGCGTTGCCGCGGTAACCGCGGCAACGCTCCAAATATCGCAAGAGGAGGACCCGGAGGAGCTGCAGACTGAGCTCCCGGGTCCTCCCTTTCCCTCCCCCGCCGGCTGTCAGCACGGTGCCTGCGGACCGGGGAGGGAGATCTCTGCTCTTCCTCCCCGGTCCGCGGGCACATTGCAGAGCTAGCACCTGCATGTGCTGGCAGGGGAGGGAGAGGGAGACCGGCGAATTTCTCGGGGGGGGCAATTGCCCCGTTGCCCCCCCCCTGGATCCGCCAGTGATATATATACTGATGAAAGTAGTATTTTGTAATACAGGGCGTGACAAATCCCGTTCGCCATAGTGAGTAGGAATTCTGTCCTAATGCCTGAGAATTGTGAGCCCGCTCCCTCCGAGTTTGAGGCCTGGGTAACATGGAGGCGGGCAGTGAGAGAGCTGTAATATTCTTTATTTACTCCCTTGTGCAACCTCCAGTGATGCCGGGAGCATCACTAAACATGCACTGGCATCACTAAACAGCGCACGAGGGAGCAGAGCAAGAAGAGCAGGAAGATGATCGGAGGCCCAATTGGACCCCAGGGACAGGATCCATTTCAGCTCTCCCAAAGGTAGGGAGACTGGGTGGACTTAAATTAACTAAATAATAATGTGTGAGAAAATGTGTGAGTATTTCAGAGTGTGTGTGTGGTACCGGGTAGCGGGACATCACTCCAAGGATTGGTAAATTAATCTCATATTTGCTATATAAACATGATTGTATTTTGATCTTGAAAAAGACCTGGCAGGGTCCAAACGTCGATCAGTTTGCTGTATGTAACTTCTTTATAAATAAATCACATTATACAAGTTAAAGACCTGTGAGTGCATCCTGGACTACCTTTTTCAATATTACTAATGCTTTTGGATCGGCACCCAGGTGAATTTTTGTTTATAATTCTGGTAAGGAGAGTGCCAAGCTATCATCGTTTTTTTATATATGTATATGAAGCATACAATAACCAGTTTAGCTGGATTGTGTAATGTGTGTGTGTGTGTGGATATATATATATATATATATATATATATATATATATGCATAGGTTGTACATAGGCCTTTATGCATATTCTGGATACTTGGATGTGAATTCATGCATTCATAATCTGCGTACTTGTGATTATTTTTACTCTCCCCCTACTAGTACTAGTATATTCAGTACTGTTTGCTTGTGTTTTCTCTCTCTCCATCCTCACTCTGGGACCCTTGTACAATATATTTACAACCCTTTGTGAGAAAGGCATCTAAATTTCTATCAGACTTGTGCCTTATCTGCACTCATGTTGCTTTAACCCCAGCATCACAACTCAATTTTGAATTCTATGTGTCTTTTTTGCTCAGAAATGCTTTATAATTGAGAAAGGGAGCTTATCCAGAAAGCTTGTCATATTAAAATTCTGTTAGTATGCACACATGCATTAATGCATATAAAAACACTCATATACATATACATTTTTAAATACCCATACACAAACACCAATGCATACACATACATTTATACATGTATACACATAAACACACACACACACATATATGCACTGATCAGCCACAACATTAAAACCACCTGCCTAATATCGTGTAGGTCCCCCTTGTGCTGAAAAAACAGCACAAGTCATGGACTCCAGTAGACCTCTGAATGTTTCCTGTGATATATGGCCACCAAGCAGATCCTTTAAGTCCTGCAAGTTGTGAGGTGTGGCCTCCGTGGACCAGATTTGTTGTGTTAGCACATCGCACACATGCTCAATTAGATTAAAAGCTGGGTAATTTGGAGACCAAGGCAATACCTTCAACTCTTTGTCATGTTCCTCAAAACATTCCTGAACATGTTTGCAGTGTGTCAGGGTGTATTATCCTGCTGAAGAGTCCTCTGTCGTCAGGAAACACCATTGCCATGACCTGCAACAACCTCTAGGTATGTGCTATGTGTCAAAATAACATTCACATTATTACCAGGACCCAAGATCTGCCATCAGGGAACACCATTGCCATGAAGGGGTGTATGTGGTCAACAACCTCTAGGTAAGTGGTACATGTCAAAATAACATTTACATGACTGCAAGGAGAACATTGCCCAGAGCATAAAACTGTCTCCGCTGGTCTGCCTTCTTCCCAAAATACATCCTGTTGTCATATCTTCCCCAGATAGATGATGCACACACACACAATCCATCCACCTGATCTAAAAGAAAATGTAATTCATCAGATCAGGCACCCTTCTTCCATTTCTCCATTGTCTAATTCTGTCACTCCTGTCCCTATTTAGCAGTTGACAATGGTCATCATGGACACTCTGTCTGGTCTGTGGCCATGCAGCCCAATATGCAGCAATTGCAATGCACTGTGTGTTCTGAGACCTTTGTATCATGGCCAGCATTATGTATTTCAGCAATTTGAGCTATGGTAGCAAGCCATGTGTGATAGGACCAGTCAGGCTAGCCTGGCTGATATAAAAATAATAAGCATATTATTAAAATACATCTTAAGATAGAAAGGTTAAATAATGATGGAAGAGGGGGTTGTGTAAAACCATTGTAGTGGGACAGGAAGCCAAAACATTTAGTCCTTTATTTCTGCTGTAAATAAATCTAATATTCTGGATTTCTTGGCTATTCCTGAAATCCCCATTTGAGCATGTTTAGATCATTGCTGTGGCCAGGCTGGGTAAACTGGAGTCCCAAAGAATTGCAATGAGAGTCTTCTTTGTGGTGTTTAATGTCTGTGCATATATATTTTGTCATTTAATTGCTTGGTGGTTTCCACAATTGGTGATTTGGTTGAGTTTGTTAATTAAGTCAGTGGTGTCTTTTATGCATATGCATCTGTTGGTTTTGGTGACAAGAGGTTTTAGAGTATATTTAACTAGTCCTGAGATCTGTTTTGTAAGTGTCCCCATTCCTATAATTACAGGTCTGCCTGAATTACCTACTTTGTGGATTTTGGGGAGCATATAGAAAATACAGATGCAGGGATTGGTTGATTTCATTTATTTTTATTTTTATTTTTTTTATTATTTGCCATCTGACAATTGCCTGTCCCCTCTTTAGATAGAAGAAATGTGCAGGGGGGTGGGAGGGATTTGGTTTGGTTTGGAAATTTGTGTACATAAAAAAATTTGTCTGCTTCGGCAATTCGGACCAATGGCATTTGTTTTGCTTCGGGACTTCGACACTTCGGAATGTCGTTCGTTTTGAAAAATAAACATTTGCCTTTTTTTTTCTTAAACAGCAATGTTTTCCATTGCATAGTGGACCACAGCAGCACCCAGACCACTTAATCTTAAAAAAAGTGGTCTGGGTTTAGTTAATTAGTAGTAGTGTTAGTTTAGTATATGTACAATTTACAAAATGGATGATATTTCCACTAAACGGATAGTGCAGCCAATCAGGGAGTACTGCACAGATAGTGCAGTCAATCAGGGAGCACTGCACAGATAGTGCAGCCAATTAGGAAGCACTACCAACATGCTACATTCTGCACACTATATAATCCCACCCCTGTGACACCATCTTTGTGGAGAGTTTAGGAGCAGAGAGAGAGAGAGAGACTGAGCAGAGCGTGAGAGCAGAAAGAAAGCAATTTGTGTGTGAACAAGCAAGTGAGAGTGTGTGAGAGAGAGCAAGTGATGTCTGGAAGGGACAGCAGTGTAGGGTCCCCCAGGGAGAGTTGTGGTGGTGGTGGTGGTAGTGGGGTAGATGTGGCTGATAGGGAGAGCAGTCTAGGGTCCCCAGGGAGAGTGGTGGTAGTGGGGTAGTTGTGGGGGATTTGCCCAGGGAGGGTGGTGGGTGGGAACGTAGGTGTTCTAGGGGCAGGGAGGATGTTGTGAGGGAAGCTAAGCCTTCTAGGGACAGGGAGGGTGGTGCGTGGGAAGATAGGCGTTCTAAGGGAAGGGAGGGTAGTGAGAGAGAAGCTAAGCATTCTAGGGCGAGGGGGGAGTTGGGGAGGATTTGCCCAGGCGGGAGGGAAAGGGGCAAGAAAAGGGCTCCCCGGGAGGAGGGTAGAAGGAAGGGAGTTGGGGAGGATTTGCCCGGGAGAAAACGGGCCCTAATATTGACTACTTCTAGTAGTACAGACTCTTCAACGTGGCCCCCCTTTCAGCAACACTGAAAACTGTGTGCTGGTGGCTGCCGTCATCAAGGAAAGAGAGATACTCTTTTCTTCTAACAGATCATTGGGGAAGAAGGCTGTCTGGGCCAGGATAAGAGACACAATAAATGCTGTTGGAGAGATGTGCAGGACTATTGGCTGTGTGAAGCACAGGTAAATAATGTATCACAAAATTATTCTTTATATAGTCACCTATAAAAATTTAGTTGAATTTGCAGGGGAATTATAAAAACTAGGCCAAAGTAGCTTTTTTGGATGAAGAGCTGAATAAAAATTTTCTTGCAAATTCCCCTTTATTTCCTTTTTATTCATTAGACTCTCTTAAATGTAAAACATATAAGCATACAATTTATTACTTGTACCAAAAATATTTAATAATATAACTTATCACATTAACAGCAGACAATAATAAATGCAAATATTGTAATATGTCATTTATTTGTATATATATAAGGTATATTAATGTACTTATTGGTTAAATAATAGTTTAATAGTCAAATGACATAAAATAGTAACTTTTTATCATGTAGCTAGTAATTACAATCTAATAAGCAACTGACATTTTAAATGTGATGTTTAAAATCTTAGACTCCCCAGACAGTGTCGAGGTTAACCTGATAGTGGAAGCAAGCCGTCATATTTTTAATAAGACGGTATTATTGTTAACTTTTTGTCAATTTCTTATGTACTTTATAACTAATGCTGTTTTTTACAGGTACTATGATTGCAAGGCGGCGGGGACAAGAAAGATGTCGCAGTCCGCTGTCGGATTCAGTGAGTGGCAGACTCGGCTTTCAGAGGCTGTCCCCAGACTTGGTGCTGTGGATATGGAAGAGCCAGTTGTGCAGCAGGGAGCTGGTGAGTAAAATAGTTAAAAGAGTAGTACCGTGTTAGCCCTGGAAAAACAGGAAACAAGTAGAATTAAAATTATACTGCTAGAACACAATTCCTAATAACAAATCAGAGTTAACAGCTTTGAGAGAAAAAAAAAAGTGGGAGGCATGAAAGACACAGGGTAAGAATGTTCTCAGCAGTAAATTAGCCAGTTCTACAGAGATAGAACAGATAAAATCAGTTTGGTCAGAGCATCCCTGATCACTCCACTCCGTGGATAGGGGGGCAATAAAACAATTAGACACATGCCAGATACATAAAGGTGTCAAATACTTGCCATTTGAAATAAGTTCACTGCAGTAATGCAGGGCTTGTAGAAAGATTATAAATTAGTAAAGTTATGTAGTGAAAACAATTCACTGTCTCTCTTACAGCCTTAAACTGGCATATTAGATTGACCTCCCATATTTTTCTTTCCCTCTGGGTGCGGAACAATCCTCAAAAAAGCTTAACTTCCTGGATACTGTGTCCATGGTTGACAAAAATGTTCTCCAAGCAGATTTCTGTTAATACCCTGTGTCTTTCACCCACCCACCCCATTTTTTTCCTCTCTCTCTCAAAAAGAGAGAGCTGTTAAATCTGATTTGTTATTATGAATTTTGTTTTAGCCTCATGCATGCGGAGGGACCTGGCAACTTGGTCTTAAAAGCTTGCAATCAGACTCTCAGTCAGTGAGTAAAAAAAAATTAATCATTACATTATAATGATGACATTGTTGTTTTGAAGGTCACTATACTTCACTATTACAAGTGTGAACTTACCTTTTGCTTTTCTTTTCTTTTTTTTCAAGGTCCGTCAACCTCATCTGGTGGGGGTTTGGCTCCAAGCACATCTCAGCCAAGTTCTGGTGAGTACACAAACACAAAGGGTAAATAAATACGTATTGTAAAAAAAAATCTGATTACACAATAACATACCATAGGTCACATAGGGGTACAAGCCCACTAAGGTCAGTGGTCATTTTGAATTTGACGATCATGTTAAATTTATAATACATTGTATAAATTTAGATTTTTACTGTGAGTACAAATTCATGTAAATAACTTTTCTATATGCTAGCTTTATGCAGGGCCGGTGCTTGGATTTTTAGGTACATAGGCGAAGATGCATTTTTCCGCCCCCCTCCCCCCCCAAAATCTTCACCTATGTGCCTCTTAACCAGCCCCTCTCCCCTCCCCGACCATTAGTGGTCCCTTCCGTTCCCTGTCCCTTAGTGTTCTTCTCCCCTCCCCCCTTTTTTCCCTGTCTCTTGGTGTTTCTCTCCCATTCCCTCCCTGTCCCTTGGTGCACCCCCCACCCCTTTAGTGGTCACACTTCCTGGTGTGTGCCTCCTACCTCTATTGTTGCATTGCCGAGCGGAGCAGATCCCCTAAAGGAGCTTCAGTTTTCTGTACCCGGACGGACTGACAGGGAGTGCTCTCTCTGTGAGCACCTCCTGTCAGTCTGGCCAGGTACAGGAAACAGAAGCTCCTGTACCGCGCTCTGCTCCACTACACTCTGTACACACTGACAGTCACACACTCAATGACAAACACACAGACGTCACTGACAGACACAGACTCATTGATCTGACACACACTCATTCATTGACACTGACAGACCCACACTGATTGACACTCATTGACAGACACACTGATAGTCACACACAGCCTCAATGACAAACATACTCTCACTGATTTGACAGACACACACTCATACACTGACAAACACACTCATCATACACTGACACACACTCATACACTCACATGCACACACACTCATACAATCACTCACACACACAGACAGTCACTCACAAACACACACTGTCACTCACAGACACACACCGAAGCACACAGTCACTCACAGACACACACACACACACACACTGTCACTCACAGACACACGCTCAGTCACTCAGACACACACACTCATACAATCACTCACTCACTCACACACACACACTCAGTCACTCAGACACACACTCAGTCACTCAGACACACACGCTGTCACTCACAGACACACATGCTGTCACTCACAGACACACATGCTGTCACTCACAGACACACACTCAGTCACTTAGACACACACACTCATACAATCACTCACACACACACACTGTCACTCACAGACACACGCTCAGTCACTCACAGACACACACATGCACACACACTCATACAATCACACACACACACTGTCACTCACAGACACACACGCTGTCACTCACAGACACACACAGAGAGCACACAGCACACATAGTCATTCATGGACACACACACTGTCACTCACAGACACACGCTGTCACTCACAGACACACACGCTGTCACTCACAGACACACACAGAGACGCACACAGTCATTCATGGACACACACACTGTCACTCACAGACACACGCTGTCACTCACAGACACACACGCTGTCACTCACAGACACACACAGAGACGCACACAGTCATTCATGGACACACACACTGTCACTCACAGACAAACACGCTGTCACTCACAGACACACACAGAGACGCACACAGTCATTCATGGACACACACAGACACACGCTCAGTCACTCACAGACACACACACGCTCAGTCACTCACAGACACACACACACACTGTCACTACAGACACAGAGCAGACACACACAGTCACTACAGACACACACTCACAGACACACGCCAGTCACTCACAGACACACACACACACTGTCACTCACAGACACACACACACTGACACACACACACACACTGTCACTACAGACACACACACTCACACACACACACACAGACACACGCTCAGTCACTCAGACACACACACACACACTGTCACTCACAGACTCACAGACACACAGACACACACACTGTCACTCACAGACTCACAGACACACTGTCACTCACAGACACACACTCACAGACACACGCTCAGTCACTCACAGACACACACACACACTGTCACTCACAGACACACACACAGACACACACTGTCACTCACAGACACACACACAGTCACTCACAGACACACACACACACACTGTCACTCACAGACACACATCACATACATTCACTAATAATTTTATAAATAAACATTTTCCACCCAGCCTCCCTACCTGGAGAGCTGGTGTGGATGATGGATCTGTCCCTGGGGCTGCTGAGAGGCGCGCGGCAGTGCTGTGATCAGGCGCGCGAGGGAGCTCTAATCTCCATCCTCTGCTCCCTCGCGGGCTGCCTACCGATGACGTCATATTCCGGCTCCCGCGGCATCAGTAGGCAGCGCGCGAGGGAGCAGAGGGTGGAGATTAGAGCTCCCTCGCGCGCCTGATCACAGCACTGCCGCGCGCTGCGCCGGGGGTCGAGATGGTGGCCTGGCAGGAGGGAGAGCTTCCCTCCTGCCGGTCACTGAAATATTGCGCCCCCAGAGCCCGTGCGCCCTAAGGCGGCCGCCTGTGCCGCCTTATGGACGCGCCGGCCCTGGCTTTATGCACTATGCACTACGCACATGCTCTTATGCTTGTTTCACCTGTAAAGGTCAATTAGTTATGTGATTTGGCTGGCAGCTGTATTGAAATCTTAACCGATATTACAGTGCATTTGTAAAAAACTTCAAAATCAAATATTCTTTACAACAATGTGGTGATAAGTTGTGGTGATAAATTATGGTGTGCTCTGCAAGTTGCATTGTGAAGCCCATAGATCATATTATGATTAATGACCAAAAATCCCCACTATATAATTTCAAATGTAAATCTTTGAATGTCCTTTATCATATCCAATATCTTTCCATGCATGTGTTGCATCCATGCATTTAGGCTTGTTGTTATCCTCTCTACTGGTTAGTAGTACTAGTTAGTCATGTGCTTTATCAGCCACTTTGTAATTGGCATCACAAATGTTTAAAATAACTATTATACTACTACTAACCACAAAATTAAACATGCTTGGTATTTATCTTGGCACCATATGTCATGAGGTCTGTTCTCCTTATTGAATTACATGACCTAATTTTCAAAATTGTCTAAGTTTATAAAACTGATATCTTTTAAGTATCTTTCTGCAATATCTGCTTATGTGCTCTCTACAGGCTTTTGTGTTTGGCCACCTTTATTTTGCTGCTTGCAGATGTACTTGTAATATATTTAAGCGCCAACATAATCTGCAGCGCTGTATATTGTAAATATAATCTACTACATTTTGGATTAGAAATGGTAATAGTGTTCTAGGGTAGAGTGTCCTTGTACCTCCTGATGTTTAAATCTAACATTCATACATCTTGATTCATACATCTTGCTATCAACATCACAGTATATCACCGGAAATGGAAATTCTTATTATTTATAACTGCACAATATACCTGTTTTTGTTTTTTTTAGCACAACTTCATTTTTGGCTGGTTTTGCTGGACATACCATTATCCATATATCTAGAAATTGAATACACATGCATTATTAGTATTACACACATTTTACAGTATACTACAGGTCTTTAAAATAAACTTTTCATGAAATAATATATGTGTTAAAACATTATCAATTTCACTGACAATGTGTTTTTAACTGTGAAACTAGTTAGTACCTACCTAATTGTTTTTTGTTTTTTTATGTTTACATGGTCATTTACTGTAGGTAAAACAAACACATTAAGAAATCTTTGTGTTCAATTGTATGGTTGCCCTTTGAATTTTTTTTGACATACTCATGTTTTTCACAAGGATTTAAATACGTTGTGTGAAAACCCCTCCACATATTCATATCCTTTTTGAAAGAGTTATAAATGCATAGGCTTAGCTTCATTTTTCCTAAGAGATGTATTGTTCACTAATGAAGCACTCTGAGCAACATTTCAATTACTAAAGTGCACTTAACAAAATACATACAGTATCTCACAAAAGTGAGTATACCCCTCACATTTTTGTAAATATTTTATTATATCTTTTAAAGTGATAACACTGAAGAAATGACACTCTGCTACATTGTAAAGTAGTGTACAGCTTGTATAACAGTGTAAATATGCTGCCCCCTCAAAATAACTCAACACACAGCCGTTGTACTCCTTACCTGGTTGCCGCCACACACGCCTGACACCATCTGAACCAAATATGTCCTTAGTCTGCTTGTCTTCAGCAAACTGTTTGCGGGTTTCTTGTGCATCATCTTTAGAAGTAGCTTCCTTCTGGGACCTGTATTTTTTACCAACTAGCTGGTAGGATACACATGTCAAAAGAAAATATATCAATAAATGAAGGTAAACAAACAAACACCCGTCCGATAGTGAGTTAAGTGAGTAAAAAACAACGCTTACAGCCCAGAACCCAAAGCGCGTTTCAGTGCTAACATGACGCCTTCCTCAGGAGAAAACAAGTGACTGAATCCTAGAAGGATTTAAATAGGAGCCCGTGTGGAGGTAGAACAATAGTTGGACCAATCATAGTAGTCGGGTGCATAATAGATTAGCCACGTGTAGTGTGGCCAATCAATAAGGAGTACGTCATAAAGTGGTACGGAGTTAATGATTAAACAGAAGAGAAAACCCTTTCAAAGAAGGTATATCCCAACACGCAAACCTGAGACACAAATATCTACTAAGGAAAGATAGTAAATGTATTACTGGTCCTTAGAGTGGCCGGGCTTAACGTGGACGTATAGAATAATGACAAAATAGAGAAAAACAGATGAGGGTATGGACGAAGTAGTTTAATCTGTGTTAAAGCTTAAAGTGGGGTAACCCTACTTGGGCAGATTGACTTTTAGGAAAGTCATGAGCTGCGGTGCCAGTTGGGAGCGCTGAGGGAAAAGTATGTTTCCGGTAACAGAAAAAACATGTTCACTCTGGACAATGGTTGGGGGACAAGAGAGGAGCTCCTGGGCTAACAGAGAGATAGCAGGCCAAACATCCATTTTCTCATCCCAAAAGCTCAAAGCTTCACCATCTTTGTGGGACTACTTACTTTTCTTGAGGGAACCGTAGTGGGTCCCACCAAACTATCCAATGCCTCAGCCCAAAATGCAGCTGATCCAGTGGATTGAGCAGTGCTGCTTACACTGCTAAATGATGGTGCTACACTATCAGACTCCTCCAGCTTTTCTTCTCCCTCAAACAACCTTAACCTCTTTCTTTGCACATCACGCACCCTGTCAATCAATTTATCCCTCCAAGCGGTCAGGGAATTCATGTGGAGTGCCATCCTTTATTCTTAGGTCACACATGCATGCAAGCATCAACTCTTGGCAAGACTCCATGCACTCATTGAACCTTCATGTTAGTTGCTCCTTGAGCCTCCTAACAAGTGCAGCAATATCACAAAGTAGTTGGCCACCAGGTACCACTTCCTGGTTCGAAATTAAGCCACTCATCTTATTTGAGAGGTGGGTGAACAAGGGGATTACTTGACCAAGGCTAGAATTTTCTTGGCTTAAATTCTCCCTAACATCCCTGAATGGCCTAAGGACTGCCACTAGCTGCCCAATCATTAACCAATCCTCCCTGACTAAGGATCTATCGATCCTTATGTAATGTTCATAGGACATGGCATGGATTGTTTTCTGCGGCCCAAGATTGCCCATCTGTGTGTCTTCCCGCTGTCCTACCCACTGCGCCACCATCTTCCTTAGTGGCTGCAAAATATTTGCTGAGGTATGTTGTTCGTACATCATCTCAGCATGGAGGAGGAAGGAGCATGTTGGTTCATTCCAGAGTTAGTAAGATGACCCAACACCTTCCCACGGCCGACTTCCCTGTCACACAGTTTACATTTTGCCAGACGGCCGTCTCCTATTGTTGCAAAATGTTCCCACACTGTGGAACGACGGGTGCCACTACTAGTTATGGTTGGGGAAGACTGTGCAATTTCACAATCAACTGGAGAAGCAGTGGGCACTGCTGGAGTTTGGGGGGAGGGGGGGCAGGTATCAGTAGGGAAGATTGAGTAGGTGGTGGTGGACTGCCTTCAACAATGAGATCCTTATGCGCATCATCATAGTGTAGGTTCTCATTTCCTAGACTAGAGCCTTGTTCCATATCTCTGTTGATGAGAAACAGAGATATGTCACCAGCAGCTGAAATTGGGGAAAACTGATCACTTCCCTCTTCTCCCCGGCTACTGGGAACTACAAGAATATCTTCTTGTATTGTGTCATCAATTATTGTACTGCTGCTGCTATGAGAGGTGGTGGCAGTAGCAGGGGTAGTAGTGGTGGTGGCATAAGTAGCACTAGCATTTTTTTCCTCCTCTAACTCTAATATCTCTTAGGCTGCCTAAATGGATGAGCAGTGGTAACAGGCTGTGTTGAACCTGCCCAGCTGTTGTAAAACATAGCAGCAGAGCTGGTAGTAGTGGAGGTAGAGGTACTAGTGTCACCACTAACAATGCTTGTGGTTGTGAGGAGAGTAAACAACCGTCTGCGAGATTTGGATTGTGGCTGCTGTGTGGACCTAGGGGACCTCTCAACCCTGCTACTGGAAGGCAACTGCTGCTGATTTTTGGTGCCAAATAGCTGGACATTGGGACCTCTCTGCCCTCTTCAGTTTCATGGGTGGGCTAACTGGGCTTGAACTCTTTCTAGTGCTACTCCTGGCTTTGGTTGCAGCTCCTGCTGTTTCATTTGCCTCCGCTTCAGGTGAGTTAAAGAGGAAGCAAGTGAACCACTACCTGTGCTCTGCCTCTTAACACTAGTACTGGTGGAGGAGCTAGTAGTGGTACATCCAGCAGCGACATGACGGCTACCAGTTTCCTCAGTCACTTTGCTTGAGGGGAGAATGTGAGGACTCGGAGGACGTGGACGATCCATTATGGTTTCTTTTGTGTTATGAAATTGTTATTTGAATTAAATCACAGAAAAACATAAAACACAAAATTAACAGCAAAGCCACAGTGAGCAGAGAGACACTCTGGCAATCAATCAGGCTACCTGGCAACAGCTAAAAAATACAAAACTAATCACTGTAGTAAAGTTACAGTACAGCAGAGAGACACCCTAGCAATCAAGCTGGCTTGTATAGCCACACACTCTCTCACCCCCTCTTAAAAAAGCAAAAAAAAAAGAAAAACAGAATGCAGTTTGCAGAAGAAAGAAAAAAGGTAAATTTCACTCTCTCTCTCCCTTATCTTTCTCTCTCTCTCTCCCTGGAACACACACTTAAAAGCAATGTGGCTCCCCAAGTCTCCAACAAGTAAAGTAAATGCAGGGCCGTCTTTAACGCGGGGCAAACGGGGCAGCTGCCCCGGGCCCAGTTTCTCTTGGGGGGCCCGAGGCACCTGCCCCGTGGGCCCCGCTGACCCCAGCGGGCGGGTGGCCGGTCGAGCAGGAAGGCGGGCGCGCGAGGGAGCACTCACTGCTTCCTCTTCAGCTCCCTCACGCACCGCACTGATGCCGGAGCCGGAAGATGACGTCATCTTCCGGCGCCGGCATCCCTACGCGGCGCGCGAGGGAGCTGAAGAGGAAGCACTGAGTGCTCCCTCGCGCGCCCGCCTTCCTGCCCGCCCGACCGGCCACCCGCCCAGGAGCCCAGCAGCACCACTGGACCCCAGGGAATCCCCCCAGCACTCCAAAAGGTAAGGAGGCTGGGGGTATTACATTAAAAAAAAATGTGTGTGTGTTTGTGTACGTGTGTTTGTGTATGTGTGTTTGTGTGTTTGTGTGTGTGTTAGTGTATGTATGTGTTTGTGTGTTAGTGTGTGTGTGTTTGTGTGTTAGTGTATGTATGTGTGTGTCTATGTGAGTTTGTGTGTTAGTGTTTGTGTGTTAGTGTTAGTGTGTGTGTGTTAGTGTATGTATGTGTGTGTTAGTGTGTGTATGTGTGTGTTTATGTGTGTTAGTGTGTGTGTGTGTTTGTGTATGTGTGTTTGTGTTAGTGTATGTATGTGTGTGTTTGTGTGTTAGTGTATGTGTGTTAGTGTGTGTGTGTTTGTGTGTGTTAGTGTATGTATGTGTGTGTTAGTGTATGTATGTGTGTGTTTATGTGTTAGTGTGTGTGTTTGTGTGTTAGTGTATGTGTGTTAGTGTGTTAGTGTTAGTGTGTTAGTGTATGTGTGTTAGTGTGTGTGTATGTGTGTTAGTGTATGTGTGTGTGTGTGTGTGTGTGTTGTGTGTGTCTGTGTGTGTCAGTATGTCTGTCTGTCTGTGTGTCAGTATATATGTGTGTGTATATCTGTGTGTGTCAGTATGTGTATGTGTCAGTATGTCTGTCAGTGCGTCAGTATGTCTGTTAGTGCATGTGTATGCATGTGTCAGTATATCTGTCTGTGTGCCAGTATGTCTGTGTGTGTGTGTGTCAGTATATCAGTCTGTGTGTCTCAGTGTATGTGCCTGTGTGTGTGTGTCAGTATTTCTCAGTGTATGTGGGTGTCAGTATATCTGTCAGTGTGTGGGTGTCAGTATTTCTGTCAGTGTATGTGTGTCAGTATGTTGATCAGTGTATGTGTCTGTGTGTGTGTGTCAGTATGTCGGTATATGTGTCTGTGTGTCAGTATGTCTGTATATGTGCCTGTGTCAGTATGTCTGTCAGTACGTCTACCAGTGTATGTGTCTGTGTGTGTGTCAATATATGTACCTGTGTCAGTGTGTCTGTCAGTGTATGTGCCTGTTTATCTGTATGTAGTCAGTGTATGTATCTGTGTATCTGCTTGTGCATCAGAGTGTGTACCTGTGCATCTGAGCCGCAACTTTAAATACAAATACACCCCTCCATTCAAACTTCAACACTACATATAAAACACACTCCTGCATTGAAACGTCAACACTACATACAAGCACACTCCTACATTCAAAAACAAACACTACACATAAATGCACACTTGCATTCAAACTCCAGTACCACATACAAACACATTCACACAAACATACTCCATACAAACACATGCTTACATTCAAACATACTAACATGGCTCAGTGCTAAATACAACCCTGCAAGCATGGGAAATTGGTAGAGTCCCAGCTGTCAAAGCATTGTTGGAGTTGCACGACAGATGGGGTTCTACCTTTAGTCCAACCTTGCAATTGGGGGTCCCAATAAAATTCATTCTACTTTAGTACCGCCACTGCGTTGGGATGGATGCCGTGATTGCATACCAGGGAGTGAGGGGCGAGAGCGGCAGGGCACAGGGGGCCCAAGCAAACACTTGCCCAGGGTCCATTCGTTATTAAAGACGGCCCTGAGTAAATGGAATGTTGTTCACCTCTCTCAGTCTCTTTGTGCTATTACAACTAGTCTGCCATCTGGTCACATGAATGCAAGCCAACACCCTGACAGCCTGATTTATTGCTATCCCACCCAAATGACTCTGTGTGCCTTCAAAGGACAAGTGTCAGTGACAAAATCACCATTATTTGGCTGTCCTCTAACATCAATCACAAAAATGTTATCATTTCATTGAACGGGAATAGTGAAACCGGATTGGGCAAGCAAGCATTACATTGCACAAAAGTAATTTGCTTATTGGTCAAGATTCCTGTCATCATTCAAGTAATTTTCCCTCCCTCTCACTTGTTTTGCCACTTTTCTGGAATTCCGAAGCCCTCATCGAGGTTCCAAGATGTTGATACACTATGTCAAATTGTTCCACAAGAAACATTAATTGGGAACCCCTGGTATAAACTAACTAGGATACATACTTAAACTTGACAAAGTGACACCAGTTATGGCGCAGTTTGTGAAATTGCATTCGTTTTAAAGGTTATTTGTGTATAAACATGGATGGTGCTAAGTGTATGGAAGGGTGTTTGCAATATGACCAATATGACAATGTACCATTGGGACCTTTGTAAATAAGATCTAAACTAATTTTGGGCATGCTGATTTATGGTGTACAAATGACGTCCCATCATATAATAACTAAGCAATCAAGAATGTAGTTTGTATAGGGATCAAGAAAGAAAATGTTGTATGAATGGGAATAAAAGTGATGAAAGTTATTGAGTTATTTAGGAGTTAAATGCAGACGAAGAAGATTCAAAATACACCCAGACCAAATTAACTGCTTTTCCTTAGAACTTTTCTTAGATTGAGGGTGAAAGCCTTGTTGAATGGTTGCTATTATTATGGTTGTAATAATGCAATTCCCTCAAGTGTTGCCAACCATGCCAATGCAGATTCCAACAGACAATGTAGCTGTAAATCTC